CATAACCAAAGAATTTCTGCACAAACTGTCAGAAACCGTCTCAGGGAAGCTCATCTGCATGCTCGTCGTCCTCATCGGGGTCTCGACCTGACTGCAGTTCGTCGTCGTAACCGACTTGAGTGGGCAAATGCTCACATTCGTCTGGCACTTTGGAGAGGTGTTCTCTTCACGGATGAATCCCGGTTTTCACTGTACTGGGCAGATGGCAGACAGCGTGTATGGCGTTGTGTGGGTGAGCGGTTTGCTGATGTCAACGTTGTGGATCTAGTGGCCCATGGTGGCGGTGGGGTTATTGTATGGGCAGGCGTATGTTATGGACAATGAACACAGGTGCATTTTATTGAGAATGCACAGAATGCACAGAGATACCGTGACGAGATCCTGAGGCCCATTGTTGTGCCATTCATCCACGACATGTTGCAGCCTTGCATGGCCAGCATAATCACTGGACATGTCACCCATTGAGCATACAGTATTTGGGATGCTCTGGATCGGCGTATACGACAGCGTGTTCCAGTTCCTGCCAATATCCAGCAACTTCGCACAGCCATTGAAGAGGAATGGACCAACATTCCACAGGCCACAATCAACAACCTGATCAACTCTATGCGAAGGAGATGTGTTGCACTGCAAATGGTAAATGGTGGTCACACCAGATACTGACTGGTTTTCGGACCCCCCAATACAGTAAAACTGCAGAGTGGCCTTTCAGCATCTTGATATGCCCCACCTGTGAGGTGGATGGATTATCTCGGCAACGGAGAAGTGCTCTCTAACACAGATTTAGACAGATTTGTGAACAATATTTGAGAGAAATAGGCCTTTTGTGTACATAGAAAAAGTCTTAGATCTTTGAGTTCAGCTCATGAAAAATGGGGGCAAAAACAAGTGTTGCGTTTATAATTTTGTTCAGTGTAATTAACCTGACTATGATAAGTAAGGGATAATGTACATCCAGCCGGTTGTTATCTCAAAATAACCCCCGACAGCGTGATCAGGACCCCGACGTGAAGCAAAGCTAATATTGAATTTAGTTTTAATATTTTATTAGCTAACCAAACGCAAAGCTTCCACCAAGAAAAAAAACTGTTCCTAGCAAGAGTATAGCGCCGACTTCAGTTACCCGGATGAGCCTGTGTTATCAGCTTCTACCTGTTGTTATCGAGGGATAACAGACCTCGGAATGTCGTGACTGACCAATCAGAATCAAGTATTCCACAGAGACGTGTAATAATAAATGAAAATTAACTCATCAAAATCTTCTCAGCAAAGTGTTTATATTTAAAATAAATCTTCAAAGTAATTTAAGGGTCTACATTTCAAATGTAAAACCATCTTCACTGTTACAAAAAAAAGTCATAATTTATTCACCCTCAAGTTGTTCTCTGTGAGTTTCTTTCTTCTGTTGAGCACAAAAGAAGATATTTTGAAGAATGCTGGTAACCAAATGGTTGTTGGTAGCCATTTACTTCCATAGTATGAAAAAAAAAACATGTAATCAATGGCTACCACCAACCAACATTCTTCAAAATCCTTTAATATTGTTTTATATTGTCTTCATTTTTTTTTTCATGAAAATTAAGTAAAATTTCACAACAATTATGAGTGCTGTAATGGGATTTTACTTTTTTTTTTTACGGTAATGATTTTTTTTTTTTTTCGCAATCCTTTAATATTGTTTTATATTGTCTTCATTTTTTTTTTCATGAAAATTAAGTAAAATTTCACAACAATTATGAGTGCTGTAATGGGATTTTACTTTTTTTTTTTACGGTAATGATTTTTTTTTTTTTTTCGCAGTTCACATTAAACTCTTAAGTGCTATTCCTCAAGGCTTCTTATGTTATGGCCAGATTCACACATTGACTTAACTTTTGTAACATAACTTGTAATGACTTCTTTTCAACCCAGTCTGTCTGGAGCGTGTGTGTATGGACTGACAGCGGGAGGATACGACAGAAGCGTGCATGGATCATTGATTCATTTAGTATTGAGGAAGAACACCCTGGTCCATTTCCATACAAACTAGGCAAGGTGAGGGGCATCATAACAGCTTTCAGCTAGAGCTCATTCAGTTCAGTTTTATTTGAATAAAATCTTTCACATTACATATGTCAAATCGCTGGATAATAATGATCATGTGAACATTTCAGTGTGTATGTTGTTTCAGATTGCACTTGATAGGTCTTATTTAGTCAATTTCGTGCTACATGGTCCTGGTGTGGATGAAGATCCAAAGAATATTCTCAGCATTAAAGACACAGGTGAAATTGTAGTACATGGAAAGGTGGACTATGAAAAGGACCCTAAAGTGCTCCGTGTAAGTACTGCTTAATGAACAAAGGATCCTTTGCAAAACAGCATTGAAATTAATTTAAATAGTCTGCAAGGAAGGCCTGTATATTGATATTCACTGGACTCAATTGCAGTTGAAATTTGAAGCAATAAATAAATCCAATAATGAAGTGGATACAAGGCTTGGGCTTGAGATCAAAATATTGGACATAAATGACCATGCACCAAAATTTCAAAAGTCAGTCTATGAAGTGACTGTGGACGAGTCACATGCTCAAGGTAATCCATTATAGTTTGCACTTCACCATTTCATTTATGAAACAAAACAGAACATTCTGACATTGTTTACTCACCCTCATGTCATTGCAATCCACAGTGTTGTTATTTTTTCCTCATAACACGAAAGTAAACATTTTTAGTTATTGTAATTATTACACACTACACAGGTTTTTGCTATACTGCTATTACTGTTAAAGGGATTGTGTGTTTTTGAGCTTGACAGCCCCTGGTTACTATGAGCTGTTGTTGAACAGCAAGGGCTCCATAATATTTCGTAAACATATATAATGTATAATTTTCCACAAGAAAAGTAACAGCATACAGGTTTGAAACAACATTAGGGTGAATAAAAAATTATGGACATTGTAATAATTGGGTGAAGTATTAACACTTATTTTTCTTAATATTTTTCTAGACCAACACGTACTGACTGTACTGGCAACTGATGACGATGATTCAGAAACAAACAATGGAACATTCAGTTTCACAATAAAGTCTGTCACACCAAAAACAGATAATGTTGAATTTTATATTCAGCAGCAAACAGGACCCGGGACAATTTATTTTAAGGGTTGTTTGGACTTTGAGGTATGAGCTTAATTTCTTTCATTGGGAATAGACAGCACATATTGCTTTTCGTGCTTCATAGATATTTCTCCATTGCTACCAAAGAGATGTTCTTCTAAATTAATCTTTTCCAGAAAGCTCAGAAATATACAGTCCTTGTTGAAGCAAAGGACAAAGGGGAAAAGATACAGTTCTCAAGTACAAGTACACTGATAATCAATATTTCAGATAATAATAACAATCTTCCAGAGTTCTCTGGCAAAACAGTAAGTTTCACAGTGGACTGTAAGATTACTAGTTTTTATGCTTCTGAAATGTCAAATTAGACACACTTTCCAGTGAAACCCAATGAAATATTTGACTTATGTTTCAGGGACCAGGGAAGGTCAAGGAGAGAGAAACTGGGGTTGAAGTTCTGCGACTGCAAGTAACAGACAAAGACGTCCATGGTTCAAAAGCTTGGAAAGCCAAATACACAATTCACGGATATAAAAAAGAGATATTCAAAATAGAAACAGACCCTGTTACGAATGAAGGGATTTTAACTGTCGTTAAGGTAGGCAGATGTAGTTAATGTGTCCGAGTTGCTGGTTATGATGCTCTAGAATCAGTGTTTACACAGAAATGTCTTATATAGTTGCCTCTGCAATTTCAGCTTTGATCGGAGCTATTTCAACATAAAAAAGCTACAAAAATATCTCTGTATACATTCGTGTTGATTTTTCTCTACACTCTCTTTATTTTGGGCTCATTCCAGCAAATGGACTACGAGGAGCAAACATATCACAATCTGTCCATCAGTGTGCAGAACGAAATTCCTTACTTTTCCTGTAAGATTAAAAAGCAAGTACCGAATGCCATGTGGGAGCTCGACAAAATACCCCCAAACCCTGACACAAGTGTTGCACACCTCTATAACAGCATTCCAGTGACCATTTATGTTGAAGATGTCAACGACCCTCCGGTGTTTATACCCCCTGTTAAACATGTTATGGTTATGGAGAACATAGATGTAGGAACAAGTCTTACAAACTTCACTGCTAAAGACATGGATGGAAGCCATGTAAACACATTTATGTAAGAGAAGCTAATATTACTGTTTAAGTTTCACTGTGGTTTATTGGATGATCAGGATCACATATAAGCAACGGTGAATTCATCTGGTGTTTCTTCGAATCATAGATTTGTTAAAGGTGAAGATATTGATGGATGGATAACTGTTGATGCAAAGACTGGACAAGTATCCACGGCTAAAATTCTGGATAGAGAGTCGCCATTTGTTATAAGCGGCACCTATATAGCAACCCTGTATGCTGTGGATGATGGTAAGACATGAAATATTCCTATGTTATACCAAGTATCCCTGGACAGACAATTCCTTTCCTTTTATTTTCAAATTAATTTCATTTGAGATTCATGCACATTTTATGCTGCTAGTGCCATGCTTTATGGAATGACCTGTGATTCTTTAGAGCTTATATATTGTTTAACTGATATCTAGTTTAATTGCATCAAACAAAACTCTCAATATCTTTCACAACCTGGCAACCTCATGGTTCATGATCAGGTTTTATACTCTGAATTTGTTTCCTCCTTGTCTCTGATCGGCAGGTGTTCCTCCGCTGACAGGCACCGGAACTCTAGTCATTCACCTGAATGATCAAAATGATAACGTACCAATACTGGAGGTGAACAAAGTCAGCATTTGTGTAGATAAAGAGCCCACAATGGTCAACATCACAGCCATAGACCTGGACTTTCCTCCATACGGATCACCTTTCTACTATGAGCTTTTAGGAGATGTTAAGGACAAATGGAGGGTTGAACCAGCTCATGGTAATTCCACCATCTACTTCACTCAATCCAGACCACCCTACAATCTCTCTCACTCATCATATTTCACTTGGAAAACACATCACGGAAGTAAAATGGGAATATGAGCACTGTTTTGTGTTGACTTTATGTCCAGAGCATTCATCCATGACACATTATAATTGTGTTTCTGTATCTACATTAAGAGCCAAAAGTTTAGAATAATTAAGATTTTGTAAATGTTTTTAAAAGAAAAAAATGAAGCAGCACAACTATTTTCAACATAGTAAGAAATGTTTCTTGAGCAGCAAATCAGCATATCAGAATGATTTCTGAAGGATCATGTGACACTGAAGACTGGAGTAATTATGCTGAATTTTCACACACACACACACACACAAAACAAACATGAAAATTGAAGTTTTGATCACAGGAATAAATTACATTTTACAATATTTTAAAATAAAAAATTTGAATTTTAAATTTTAAAATGTAATAATATTTCACAATATTACTATATTATTGATCCAAATAAATGCAGCCTTGGTGAGCGTAAGAGTCTTATTAAAAAACATTTAAAACTCTTAATTATTCCAAACTTTTAGTATATTTTACAGTAATACTAACTCTCATGTTATCATCTTTCTTTTTCTCCTAAAGGCACAACGGTGAGTCTTGTAAAAGAAAACAATGTGTTTTCAGGTTATCACCTCCTCCAGATCAAAATATCAGACCAGCAGGGATTTTACTCCATGCAGAACCTGTCGGTCACGGTGTGCGACTGCTCTATCACTCCCGACTGCCATGTCAGGATGGTCTCGCAGGCTCGGATGGGGCCTGTTGCTGCCTGGATAGTTGCTCTTGCAGTTCTGATTCTCACAGGTGAGTGATTTCCAATGTTCGGATGACATTAAGAGATAAGAATTTTGCAAACTGTTTCACAATACCAAAAACCCATCCTTCTGTCATTCCAACCATTAAAGGTGTGGTTAAACAATAAAAGACTTGCAATGGAAACCTTTAGCAACCTGTTTTTTGAATGACACATGCTTTCAGTACAGTTTTGAAATGTTATTTAATTTATCCTCTGTAAATACTGTAGTTTTGTTTTGCTAAAAAGCACTTAGAATGTTTGTTTTTCTGCATTTGGGGAAAAATGTATTCAGTTGATTTAAAGATAAATGAACGTTTTGCTGACAATTTACTCACCCTCAGGCCATCCAAGATGTAGATGCAGATGTAGTGTTTGTTTGTTCTGAACAAATCTGAACAGATTTGGAGAAATTTAGCATTATATCACTTACTCACCAATGGATCCTCTGCAGTGAATGGGTGCCGTCAGAATGTAAAGTGAAAAGCTGCGTGTTTGTAAGAAACAAATCCATCATAAAGATGTTTTTGACTTCAAACCATCGCTTTGGCTTAAAAGATGAGTCCTCAATCCATAAAATTGCTTCCGCCAGTTAAAAAAAAAAGTCTTGTCTGAATCAGGAGAGAAATATGCACAGATCAAGCACTGTTGAAAACAGTCCAAAACAAATATGTGGGTCCATGGGGATGGACTTTTCACTGGAGGAAGTGTTATTATTGATTATGGACTCATATTTTAGCTGAAAGCAACACTTTAAAGTTAAAACATCTTAATGTTGGATTTGTTTTTTTTACAAACATTCAGTTTTTCACTTCACAAGACATTCATTATTGGACTGGAGTGGTGTGGATTACTTGTGGATTATGGTGATGTTTTTATCAGCTGTTTGGACTCTCATTCTGACGGCACCCATTCACTGCAGAGCATCCATTGGTGAGCAAGTGATGCAATGCTACATTTCTCCAAATCTGATGAAGAAACAAACTCATCTACATCTACTCAGATGGCCTGAGTAAATTTTCAGCAAATTTTAATTTTTGTGTAAACTATTCGGATAAACACTTCAAAATATGGTCAATGGAGCTGATAACTTTATGAAAATGTGAAAGTATCCAAGTTTAAAAGAAATACTCTCTTTTTATATTTCAGCAATGTGCTTAATGAGTCTACTAATCTCCTGCAAGACTTCAATGATTGCAATGAATGAGGGCCTCGGTCATCTCATGACAACAAATACGGAAAATCCAGGAACAGACTGCATGGTAATTTCATCATACAACCCACAGTAACTGTTTTTCAGTAATGTTTGTATTTATGCATTTTATTCCGTTTTAGGTAACACTACAACGAGGTTTTATGTCAACATTAGCTCAAGTAATTAACATTAGTTTATGTAATAACATACAAGAACAATGCACACAGCATTTGTGAATTTAATGTTAATGTTAAAAATGACATATCAAGTACATCTCCTTGTATAATTTGACACACACACAAACACACAGGTTTCCATGTTTTATGGGGTCATTTAGGCATAATGGTTTTTATCCTGTATAGACTGTATTTTCTATTTCCTTACCCTACTCCTAAACCAACCCCTCACATACAACTACAGGGATTTTTAGATTCAAAACACTTCATTATGTATGATTCATGCTGTAAGCTTGTTTCCTCGAGTCGTGGGGACCAAAAATGTCCCCACAAGGTCAAAATTTACTAGTATTACTATCCTCGTGGAGACATAGATAGTTTGGTCCCCATCACTTAGGGAATACCAGGTGCACACATGCACACACACACACACACACACACACACACACACACACACACACACACACACACACACACTGTGTGTGTTTGTGTGTCAAATTATAAAAGGACATGTACTTTATATATTTTTTTGGCAAGCTTCGTGTTATTAGTGCTATAACTAATTATTGTAATATAACAAATACTGTAAAATAGCATGCGTAACATTACATTACGTTTGTAGATTAAAAAATGCTGTAAACATTTTTGTGCATGGTAAGTAAATGGTACCTTCATTAACTAGTAAAGTGTAAAGTATTGATAAGTTCAACTCATATTTATATCAAACATTAAACATTTGTTGCCTGAATAACTTTTAATCTAAATCATGATGTCTTCCTAAAGGTGCCTTCCTTTCACAAAACTGGTTCTTCCAGTGTAAACAGCGTAAATGCGACTACAAATATAAACTCAAGCCAGAAGGTAACATTAAAACTCTTCATGTTCTTTGACAGTTGGGGTAAATTAGAGCATTCTGGGAAATAATATTTTGCTGTCAAACCAAGTTCAAACATTTATTATTAATATCATCTATAAAGTTTCTGGGAATGGCCTGTATATTGTGTGTATAATAGATTATTCATGGATAATTAAAACATGGAAAAAAATAAATGTTTTATTTGAAAGTGATAAAAGCAGTTAGATTTTATTTTTACTTACTTCCCACATGAAAAAATACTATAGTAATTTACAGTAAATACTATAGTGTTTTTGAACCATACTATAGTAAAGTACTTGAATTAATTTGTTGTGGTAATTCTATAGTTACTGTGGTAATATAACAACTATAGAAACATAAACAAAATACTTTACCCAATACTGTACTAAGTTTTCTACATTTATAGTATACTACAATACACTACAGTTTACTGTAGTAAAAACTAAAGTATACTACCGTATTTATTACAGTTTATCAGTTCACTATAGTTAATACTACAGTATGCTGTAGCATTCATTAACAAAGTGTTGTAAATACTGTAATATATACAGGATAATACACTTTACTATAGTATGGTTCAAAAACATTATAGTATTTACTATAAATTACTATAGTATTTTTTCATGTGGGTTAAATTGAAATTCTACATCCTGTTTGCTACCATATTCAGGATAACTTTTCTTAAAATTATCACTATGCTTCATAATATCCAGGTGATGCATAATGGACTGCAGGCAGTTTCACATGCTCCACCGTCAGTCTACAGCGACCAGCTGTTCAACCGCTCGATATACAGGGTGAGTATTAACAGCCACAGCAAGTTTTCAAAGTGATGGTCATTTTCTTTTTTTTTCTTTTTTGTGATGGACTCTTTCTGAAATGTATGTTTTACAGAATTCCACAAGACGTACATACAGAGGAAATTTTGAGGTAAGAATAAAGTGACGGTAATAATTCACATGATATGCTAACTCCAGCACAACTCAACTTTTCTCACATCACCATCTATTCTTTATTCAACCAGCGATCGAGTATCAGATCAAGTTTTAGAAGCATGCATTCCTACAAACCCAATGCATCTTACTTGGGAGAAAACCTAGCCGTTCTCATCAACCAGGTGATTTAATGCTGTGCATTACTATTCTACTGTTTACTCATTCCTTATTAATATTAACATTTTTTTCTTCGTTTCACAACTATAATTTGTGAATTTTGTGATAAAAAGTAATTCCAGCTAAAAAAAAAAAAAGTTTAAATAACATTGTGTTAATGTTCCCATCAATTTATAAAAACATTCATTTTGAATATCCAATTTTTAAACACGTTAAAAACTGTATTTCGTTACTTAGTTAGTTAGTTGAACATTAAGGGAACATTCCATTTTAACATTATGGGGAAGTTACTTCTGTGTGTTCTCTAAGCATTTTAAAAAAAGTAGTAACATTTAAAAAGTATTAGATGAATGTCCAAATGAAATGTTTTGGATCCACTTTATTTCAATAGTCCACAGACGTTCTACTAACAGTCATTCTACTAAGTAACTTTGCAACTACATAACTAACTCTCATTAGAATATTAATCGACTGTTAGATAAGGGTTAGGATTAGTAGATTAAAGGGTTAGTTCACCCAAAAATGAAAATTCTGTCATTAATTACTCACCCTCATGTCGTTTCAAACCCGTAAGACCTTCGGAACACAAATTAAACGAATTGTTGAATAAAGGTGGGGGGGGGTTTTCGCACAAAAATTATTCTCGTAGCTTCGTATAATTGCGGTTGAACCACTGATGTCACATGGATTATTTTACCGATCTCCTTGCTACGTCTCTGGACTTGGGAAGATTTCAGTTGTAATGCTGTCTATGGGAGGGTCAGAGAGCTCTCAGATTCCATCAAAAATATCTTAATTTGTGTTCCGAAGATGAACGGAGGTCTTACGGGTTTGAAACAACATGAGGGTGAGTAATTAATGACAGAATTATCATTTTTGGGTGAACTAACCCTTTAAGTTGACATGTACTTGCGAAGTCACTTATAGTCAGTAAAATGTCTGTTGGTGGAGCATCAAAATAAAGTGATATTCAGCAGACAGTCTAATACCCTAATGACTGCTAGTTGAGTTGTAAAGTTACTTATAGGTAGTAGAACATCAAAAGGGGATTTTCAAAATAAAATGTTAACACTGTTTCAGATATAAAACCTTCCTTTTTAATCTTTCGCTCAATGTGTTTTTTGATCATGATAAATAAATTTGGTCAAGTGTGTCTAAATGTTTGACAGGACGGTGAATAATTTTCATGGTGCTTTTGTTTTTTCCTTCTTCTCTTCAGAAACTACTTGCTCTCCATACCCGTGATGAGGAACATGGTATTTACAAATCGCACTGTTATGCAGATGAAGGACAACCTATGGACAATGATGAATTGGATGCAATATCCATTCAAGAGGATGGCTTTCAACCAGAGATGCTCAGAAATCTGGACAGCAGGTTCAGTCAACTAGCAACAATTTCCAGACCTGACCTGATGAGAAGGTGACAATTATCTCAGGACGTGTAGCCATTTTATATCTAAATATATATATAGGACAAAATGCAACGAAGTTCTACAGAATGAATGATGATAAATATGCATTTGCATTTCCTGAATGCAAAAAGTCACCAGTGTTTGCAAAGCAACAAAGGAATAGTGTTAATGTTTTAGGTGAGCTCAGGTTTTTTGGCTTTTGTTCTATGTACTTTCATTCTGTATTTTTTGTTCTCTGTTCATGTGGAATCATTTGAAGACATTCAATGCAAAAAATATGGTGGTGTAATAATTTGATAAAACCTCCTTCAAGAGTAGTACTTGGGTGGATGGTGATAATAGAGTTTTTAGGAGCTGATAAGCGAGAATGTCTATTTTGAATGTGTCATGCGTAATCATGTGGCATATCCTGGTCTGTTGTTCCCCTGGGCGTGACATTTCATCACCTTGGAATCACAAGGTTCTATCTGACATTTTATTCAAAACTGAGTTATTCACACATACTGTGACAGCATGTGTTTGTAAGAAACAACCAATCAGGATCAACTTTCTTTGTCATGTCACTGGACTGCTACGTGACAGCAGCAAATATTAAATGTGAAATGTTTTAACTGTAAAATAAAAAATGCATTCCTTGGAACTTCAGCAGCCCGGGACGTCACTGACTATCCTCCTCCCCATTCATTTCTTAAAGTCAGACATCAACCTTCTTAATATTCCTCAATCTATTCATTATAAACAATATAACAATTTTTTTTTGTGTGTAGGGTGGCTCGCTAGGGTCGCTATATTTTTCCTGCACAACAATAATTAAATGTCTGATGACTCAATAACTGCAATTCACCTTTATTCTTCAAAGTGGCACTGTTTGATAGACAATTATGACATGATTTTTTTCACTCATAATTACCGCAGGCATAAAACAAATAATATAATCTGCAAAAATTGAACTGGCTTGAATGGCTTTACTGCACAGCAATTACTGTACGCAATGAAATACAAGTGTCACTGTTATTTGATGGTGGATGTGGTGAATAGCAATCAAAATATTGATATTTAAATAATTGTAATTGATTGAGAAAATGTCTGAGATGGTGAATATGAGCCAGATGCTGAGTGTGCTGGGGAAGCTAGTGCACTCTGACGATGACAGTGACTGTAAAATCATCTGCTCAAACTGAACCCTTCCAAAAAAAACAAAATATGCTTTATTTTATTCTTTTGTTACTGTTATTAAAATGCCAGGAGAGTTTTAGCGAGATCCATGTTAGATTAGCAAAACATTCATGCATATAAGGGTTAAACTTTGTGAAATAACTTTGCTGAATCATTGTCTGTTTTCTTGCAGTTTAATGTCTTAAAATATCTTACATTTTACAATATTAATCCTTAAAGGTCAAATAGTCAAAAATATAATTATTGGGGTCTTAATAATAATAAACGTTAGCATGTTATCTCAGCCATACTGATCTCTAGAAAGAAATGTACATTTCTCATACATGTCGGCACATTGTTACAACCCTAATTTTATGTTTTAAAACAATTTATAAGTAAACTGTTTGTATTTCTTGAAGTTGTTTCTTCAATGAAGGTTTTGCAAGATTGAACCTTATAATTCAAAGTGTTTTTTTAGAATTAGAAGGTTCTATCTGCATTTGACCTATTCCAAAAATCCCCATTTACAAATTTGAGAGGATTTTGATATTGTACATTCAGAATACGTTTAGGGTCTCTGTCATTTTCATGTTTTAAAGAGACTTGTTCCCCATATCACTTTTTCTCTATGGAATGCAAAACCTCATAACCGCTCAGAATGAAGATGATAGAACCTTATAATTCCAAGGTGGTGAAATGTTGACAGCGAGGAAACTGCTCTGTTGTTTCAGGTGCTTTTAATCCTTTGCTGTAAAATGTGAAACTGTGACTGTTTTTTTAGTATTATTTGTACACTGGCGCGTGGGAATCGATGATTGTTTAATAAAACTCAGAATTTAATCTAGTGAAGCATAACATTGTTTTTCTGTGTGTTAGGTTTTATTTTGACAGGCCTCTCGACCTGTTCAACCAGTTTTTTTTTTTTTTATTCAACATGCAGCTCTTGTTAAATGAACCTAAATAAAGTATAGTGTTTCAGGATCCTTTTCTTCCATGGTATTTTTTTTACACTAATTACATTAAAATGTTGCAAACTGTGGTTATGTTACTAAATACATTAATATTTGTATTTACGTATACATTAGCAGCAGTAGCATTTCATCTTTTTTAAGATTTTGAAGCTTTTTAAATGATCCGAGAAATCACAACTTTCATTAAACCAAACTTTGCACATAATTTACAACCATGCATTTTACAGAATGATTTGCTATGTATTTACTATTGCAGTATGTAATTATTTGTAATTACACAGATACAATGTAAAATGTTTGTAAAGGAGTATTTAAGCTTTATACAGTGTCTATTTATTAGATGTATTTTGGGGGTAAATTGTGATTTAAAAAAAGTTCTTAAGAATCTCTCGTATCTTTTTACTCTATTTACATATTCAGTAAATCATTTTTACTCTGTTTACCTGTAGTTTTGATGAGGATGCTAACAAAATGATTCACTGCTTGGAAAAGCAAAGATACTCAGCTTTGAGAAAACCTTTCTGGATTTTTTTATTTTTTATTAGATGTTTATTTACCAGCTATGTCTATTGTTCCTCTTTCCATAAAATGATGTGCACTGTAATGTCATCTACTTTTAAAAAACATAAAGGACTTTATTGTGCCAAACCTGTCCTCTTTAGGATACGATACACTCAAACCATATATGGTTCAATAGAAATTCAGTGGGAAATGTTCTTATCAGAGGACAAACATGAATGGATGAGAAAGAGGAGGCACACATACTTTCAGGATGAAACCTGAGGTCCTGTCTGTGATGTGGGTTCATCTGGCTGGGCTTCATTTCTGTAGTGATCCAGTATCTGATCAGTCCTTGATTACTTCCTCCAGATGTATGCTATAAATCTGACAGTGCAGTGGAACGACATCATGATATATTACCTTTACATACAGATCTAAAAGCCCAATACAATAACATTGTTGTGTTTCTCTGGTGCCACCCACAGACTGCACATACTGTAATATCTTAAAACATGACTACTCGCTAAAAGAATTCAGTAGCTTACTCTTATTCTGCACAAGTAATAAAAGAATGCAACCTGACAATGTAGTTTGGCTTTAATTTCAGATGTTAAAACTAAATTAAACAAGGAACATTTCCATTTTTATCTTGTCATAATTTGCATTAGCATGCTAATATATCAAAGCTTTGTTTCACATCGAATATTTTTTATCATTGCATCATATCTTTCAAATTGTATTTATTTATTTATAATTTATTATTATACAGTCATGTGAAAAAGAAAGGACACCCTATTGAATTCCATGGGTTTCCGTATCGGGACATAATAAAAAATCATCTGGGCCTTGGCAGGGCTTAAAATTTGGAAATAAAACCTCAGATGAACAACACATGACATATCACACTCTGTCATTATTTATTTAACAAAAACTAGGCCAAAATGGAAAATCCATGTGTGACAAACTAAGAACACCCTTACTGTTAATACAGGGGTTAAAGCAAACAAAAAAATATTTTGACTGAAATTTTTTCCTCAGCCAAACCCCATTCCACAGCCATACCTGTCACACACCCAGTTTAAGAGCAGTTGTTTCTTGTAATTAGGAGCGCTTGTCCTCCTAATTTAAAAAATTTAGGAGCACCTTCTGATCAATAATAAAAAATTCTGATCAGAAATTACCCTTCCTAATATGAGGTGACATTTGACTCAAAGTGATTTACAGGGGTATTTTCTTTTTACCTTTGTAATGGCATTTTTCTAATTTTATTAAATGTATGCAGTGTTTCCTAGGATTTTTTCCAGCTGGTGGCAGGACTATTTCCCATGGACCACGCCCCCTCCCCAGTTATTTTAACTAAAAAAGACAAGTAAATAATAAAATAAGAACAAATAAATTAATGACAATCAATAGCACAAACAAAAACAATAACAAGATACAAATTAAATTAACAGTACTTAAATTTTTTCAGTTAGGTCTAACTATAATCTATTCAACTGTAAAATAACACTGTTTAGTCTTCACTGTATAATGAAAGACAGCAGCAGGTTTATTTAGGCTGCTAAATAATGCCTCATGCACGGATCTAATATACTGTTACACATGGCTCTATGCTTACTTTTCTTTTAGGAGCTCTTGTCCTCCTAATTTAAAAAATTTAGGAGCACCTTCTGATTAATAATCAAAAATTCTGATAAAAAATTATCCTTCCTAATATGAGGTGACATTTGACTCAAGTGACTTACAGGGGTATTTTCATCATTTTCATCTGTCAAATTCAAAAATGTATGTTTATAAGCTTTTTAACATTTCTATTTAAAACAATATAATAAGAAGTAGAATAAGACAAATAAGTTATTAATCATATGAAATTAGTATTAATAAAAAATGCAGCGGCTGAGCTGTTACTATATTTGGAACTATTTTCGTTGAAGAAATAGAGCAAAATCAGGCAGTACTTGAACTTGAACTATTGAACTGTTGTATTAAATCAATATCACATTTTGCAAATAATACATTCCGTCATCTGTCATCGCGTTATAAGCACGGAACCTGCGGGAATGAGTAGAATTGTTATCAATAGCCACAATCCCGCGCCGAAATTCAAGTTCTGCTCTGCGTTCTCTGCTAAAAACCCGACTGTAAATGATGCGAGCGGCATCACTATGTTGTCACTGAGAAGCTGCAGCCGTGGCAGGGATGATTTTTGGTGTGCCGGTGCAGAACAACAACAACAATGCGCTGCATGTTTCTTTTCCTCTCATTTTTTCCAATTGACGGAAATCAGTCGTAGACTCGCTGCAATTAATGGAAATCCGTCGTAGCGACTGAGAACTTTAATCCCTGTGTTAACATGGGAATTAAGAGGGTAAATAACGGTCAGGC